AGAAGACGAGTGTGGCGGCCCGCCTCCCCCCGCAGAAAGCCAGGGTGACCGGCCGGCCACAGCCACAGCCTGCTGGGAGGCCTGATCTCAGAATGATCATAAAGGCAAGGCAGGCACGGAAGGAACGGTCCTGATGGGTCACGGAGGGACTTATCAGGGGACATGAGGTGGCCGGGACATCCAGCCCCCAGTGCTACTGTAGGGCCTGCCCTGGCCGAGCCCGTCCCACATTTCCAGCCTTCTCTGGTCAGCGAGCTGTCACAGGGCGGCGGAAATCTGATGCTTTCCCTACAACAAAATGCGGAAAAGCTGACATCACTGAAGGACCATCTGGCAGCGTGGAAACTACTGCCAAATGTGTCCCCATGGGTTCTGTCTGCCATAGAAAAGGGCTACCGGGTCCAGTTCAGAGCTCGACCCCCTGGTTCAGTGGTGTGCTCACGACATCTGTCAGCACAGAGCAGAGCCCAACGTTAGCAAAGGAAATAAGCTCCCTTTTGGACAAAGGGGCCATAGAACGTGTACCCCGTTCTCTAAGGGAGGGAGGTTTTTACAGCCGTTATTTCCTGGTCCGCAAAAATTTTGGACCTGCGTCATCTGAACCGTACTCTTCGGACATACAGGTTCAAGATGCTGACGCTCAAACTTATCGTGCCACAGATTCAGTCCGAGGACTGGTTTGTGACAATAGATCTGAAAGACGCATATTTCCACATAGGAATATCGCCCAGTCACAGGAAGTTCCTGAGGTTTGCGTTTGGAGGAAACACGTACCAATTTCGGGTTCTTCCTTTCAGGCTGGCTTTATCCCCTCGCACCTTCACAAAGTGCATGGGTGCTGCTCTGGCTCCCTTGCGACTCCAGGGCATCCGTGTACTAAACTACCTGGACGACTGGTTAATTCGGGCACGATCCAGGGAACAGGCGGTTCAACATCGAGATGTTGTTCTCGCCCACATGAGGAGCTTGGGGCTCAGGTTGAACCTCAAGAAAAGTATGCTTTCCCCAGTGCAGAGGACAACTTTTCTAGGGGTCATATGGGATTCTACTACGATGAGGGTGTTTCTATCCACAACACGCGTACAATCGATCCTATCAACCTTGAGCAAGATAAAGCGGGGGCTGGGCATCCCCTCCAGCTTTTACGAGCGGCTGTTGGGCCTTATGGCAGCGGCAGCCAACGTCATACCGTTGGGCCTATTGCACATGAGACCGCTTCAGTGGTGGCTGAAGAGTCAGTGACGCTGTGTCAAAACAGCGCATCTCTACTTGGATAGTGGAAGCAATTTCTATCGCTTACGAGGCGCGCGGTCTCGCCACGCCTCCAGGCATAAGAGCTCATTCCACTAGGGCGGTCGCCTCCTCGAAGGCTCTGTCGAAAGGGGTGTCCTTGCACGATGTGTGTGCAAGATGTGTGTGCATTCGTTATTACAGCCTGGATGTTCATTCCACCCCGGGCTCAAGTGTCTTGCAGTGACCCTCGGGCTTCGGTATTTTCGGACAGGCCGTACCCTTGGTATGACGGAGTGGGTATTCCCGTTCCCCATACTGCTATGCTCAATGCAACGTCGAAGTTCCCTTTGAAAGGGAACGTCGGGGTTACGTATGTAACCATGTTCCCTGAGAAGGGAACGAGACGTTGCATAGCATTGTCATACCAGGGCAGGCCTGTGAATTGCGTCTTCGCTTCAGATAATAGAGGCTGGCGGCGGGGTTCACAGGTGCCATATATATATCATGCGACGCGCTTAATTGCCACGTCACCTGATCATGGCAGGCCTATAAGTAGAGGCATGATTTAGATACCGGTCACGCGCGCAAAGCGCTCCCCCATACTGCTATGCTAAATGCAACGTCTCGTTCCCTTCTCAGGGAACAGGGTTACATACGTAACCCCGACGTTTTGCACTACCTTCTTAGAGAAAAGGTGTTCTAGGGAAGTCGCCTACCAGAAGCACGTGCTGTTCTACTAGTGTTCTTATACTACAGCATTCATGTGATTATATTTCATATAAAAGCTACCACTCGGTACAACATCCTTTGTGGTCCTGATCATTATACAAGTTACCACACTTCCTGTGACGTCTACCTTGGGTTGTTTCACAAAGTGTATAGTGTAAATGCAGATATCAGAAATGGGTCACTTTTTTTTTTAAAAGAATATGTAAACGGGTCGTCAAAAAACCTGGATATAGTCAACAAATCAGAATTGGGCATCAAGATCTGCAGTGTAAATGCAGCCTAATATACTCTATATCCAATCATGTTACTGACCTGTTGCCAATTAACCTCCAGCTGTTTCTTTTTAGTAACACTTACATTTCTAGCCTTTTGTTGCCCCCGTTCCAACTTTTTTGAGACGTGTTTCAGCTATCAATTTCAAAATGACCTAATTTTCTACTTAAAATGGTACATATACTCAGTTTAGACATTCGATATATTTTTTCCATGTTCTATTGAGAAGAACGTATGGGTTTATGATATTTGCGAATCACTGCATTCTGTTTTCATTCACAATTATTTACATTTTTGATAATTTCTATGCTGATGACACCCATCTCTATTTGACCTTCTAACCTGATGACACTTTTGTCTCTGCATGAATCTCTGCTTGCCTGTCTGACATCTCAAACTGGATGAGGAAAAAAACTGAGCTTCTCATCATCCCTGCCTGCCTCTCGATAAACCACAACCTCACCATACAGCTCGGCTCAACTACACTCAAGCCAAACAGGACAGCCAGGAACCTTGGGATGACTTTTGATTACAGCTTGACCTTCACAGACCACAGTTCAACAACTACACAATCCTGTAGGTTCATTCTGTCCAACATCAAGAAAATCAGACCTTATCTCACTGAACAGGCTACACAGATACTAGTCCAGTCTTTTGTCATATCAAAACTGCAACGCAACTGCAAAACTGCACTGAGATGGCATTCTTCATGGAGCAGATTGGGGTTGGTCTGGGTTGGGTGGAGATGCAGAGGATTCTTCTGGCGCTGAAGCAGCTGGTGGACATGCAGCCCCTGCATAGCTGCAGATTCTGGGGCAAAATGCTTGGTATCGAAGGGAACTATCTGGTGGCAGAAACATACTACATGAGGCGATCAGGAAGAAGAGGAAGGGGAGGAAACGCATAATAAGGGAGAGGCTGGAGAAGAGGATGAGTTAATCAAAGTCCCCAAGTCAAGCTACAAGCCACCCACCCCAGTCCCTAAGGAGCCTCGTCACTCCGGCACCAACAAGTTCGCCTACTTTGTGTGCCGAGAGCCGGGCCTGCCCTGGGTCCGTCTTCCTGACGTCACCCCTGCTCAGATCACAGTCGCGCGACAAATTCGCAAGCTCTTCACCGGGTGCCTGGACGCTCCCATCGTGTGCTACCCGCCCTTCCCCGGCAAAGAGGCCAACTACCTGCGTGCCCAGATTGCCCGCATCTCGGCGAAGACCCAGGTCTGTCCACTGGGGTTCTATTTGTTCTTGAGTAGAGGAGGATGAAGACGAGGAGAATGTAGCTCGAGACAGCATCGATGAGAACCCTGACTTTGAAGGTGTCAGCGTGCAGGAGATGGCAGAGTCGCTGTTGGCATGGGTCCACCACATTCAGCACATTCTCAATCAGGGTCGTTGTGTGTGGGCCAATTCGGCTGAAAAGACAGAGGATCTTCTTGAAGAAGATGCGGACCCCAGTGTCCAGGAGGAGGAGGCTCTGAAGGAAGCACAAGAGGCGAAACTGGAAAACAACGACCCTGAGGAAAAGGAAGAAGAGGACTGAAGTATTTTAACAGTTAAAGGGCCAGTACACCGTTGAAAGCATCTTGAATTTTAACATATGTGACTATAATAAAATGTTATGGACAGACAAAAAAAAAGAAAAATAAAAAAAAAAACTCTTGCACCTCCCAGCCAACTCCACCAAACCTCTCCAGATGGTTCAGAATGCAGCAGAACGCCTTGTTTTCAACCAGCTCAAAAGAACTCATATTACACCCCTCTTCATCTCCCTCCACTGTCTTCCTGTAGCCATCATTTCAAATTCAAGGCCTTGATGTTCATGTACAAGACCTTGTCTGGAACAGCACCCCCTTATCTCAACACTCTCCTTGATGCTTACGTTCCCTCACGCAATCTGCGATCGATTAGCGACCGACGCTTAGTAGTAATTACTCAGTGCGGCTCAAGGTCCCTTTCCAGAACCTTCACACTAACCGTCCCTCAGTGGTGGAATGAGATTCCAACCTCAATCCAGACTGGAGAATCTGTCACTATCTTCAAAAACAGCTAAAGATCCACCTCTTCTGTGAGCATTTAACTAACCCCTAATCTGCCAACCCCCACATTATTAAAAATAAATAATTACACTCTACTCCTTACACCTCAAGTCTTCGCACTTTGCTTCTCTAGAATTTAATTATATATCTTGTATAGTAGCACTACTTGTATTGTTTCCGCTTGACATATCGCTTTGCTTGTATTTCCTCATTTGTAAGTTGCTTTGGATAAAAGTGTTTATATATAAAAACACAAATGTTATTGACATTTTACACATCATCCCAATTTTTTTGGAATTGGGGTTATGTAACATTATCTTCAATTCAATTCAAATGTGGATCTGGATGTAGATGTCCCTGAGCAAGCCAGAGGTCACAGAGGCAAGAAAAAGAACTCTGAGACGACCCAAGGAAGAAACCTTAAGAACCATAGTCAAAAAGGAACCCATCCTCTACTCTGTGACACTGGAGCATGCGATTATAAATAAATTAGGTTCAGTATAAGCACCATGGACTTCCATTTTCTGCACTGCTTATCCTGGACAGGGTCATTGGGAGTCTGGAGCCTATCCCATGGAACTCAGGACACAGGGCAGGGGACACCCTGGATGGACACCCACACACCTACTCACACACTACAAATAATTTGGAAATGCCAAATCAGCCTACAGTGCATGTCTTTGGACTGGTGGAGGAAACCGGGGTACCTCGAAGAAACCCCTGAAGCACGTGAACACAGGGGGGATCGAACCCCCAACCCCAATGTTTGTGAGGCATATGTACTAACAACTAAGCCACTGTGCCCCCCATGTTCTTACATACTGTGTTACATACTGTATACAGCATGCTCTTACATCATAACAGTTCTTAGGTACACTACACTACATTATCCAGGTGAGATCATCCACTGAAGAAAAAGTGCACTGGGGCCATCCACAACAGCAATGATGCCATCTTATCTTTTAAATTTGCTCAAACCTTCTACTTTATACGCAAATAAAGAAAATACAAAAAGTGATTTAAAAAATGAATGTAGCATCCAGATTACATTCAGTGCATGCAAATTCTCTAAATTTCTCCTTTTCACTCCCTGTAGTTACAGACAAATGCGCGCACACACACACACACACACACGCACACACGTACTCACGCACGGACGCACACACAAACACACTCATTCGCACACAAGGGCAGCAGAGTGAAATGGAAAAACACTATAAAAATATTCACATTTTTGCAGAATGCTATTCAAATAGTCATTAGAGTCTGACTAATCTAATTCAGCAGCGGCTCCATCGCTCTCACACTCGCTCACCCACACACCCAGCAGTAATACAGATGAACCGTCCCCCTCCCTCCCAAAACACACACTGCATGGCTCCAAATAATAATGGGACTTCAAATGGCAAAAGCATAGCCCATGCAATCCTATTTTGAGAGGCGGAGACATTTTTTTTTATTTCTCTACTCATCTGTTGAGGAAGTAAATTGCCTTCAGCTCTCCTCTCAAACACCCCCCTACTATTAGTTCTTCACCCCCACCAAGATGTGCTTTCATCAAGTAATATGACTCATAATGAAGAGACTATTATCCTCGAGTGCTTGGCGCGGGTTTGATGATATCCGGCGTGCTGGCAGCGGGACTGGGATCAATACAGCGTGCCTGATGGATGGCGTAGAGTGGCACTGAGACTGGCAGCCTCTTGTCTGCTTGAGGAGATTATCGTTAGACATGTAATATTCTGTAATAAAAATAACCCTGAACACAAGCAGGAAAACGAAACATTGCGTACGTATTTGGCGATCACCTAGAATCTAATAGTTTTGAAACAGATTAAGAGACTCTTATGAGGATTACGGTTACTCTGTGTGGATTGTACGGATTAATGCTGTGCTATTAATGGGCTACTGCAGAGTTCAAATCGGGTTTGGATGATAGAACGAAAGCACAGTATGTCATTTGTGGTACATTAATCACAGCATCCATCCATCTTCGTGGCTTAATTACACCTAATTATGAGAAGAGTGCAAAAGCGTATGCACTACAGAAGTAACCCGAATATAAATGCATTATTTGGAATGGACAGATAGTGTCTTCTCAAATACAGATATGAATAGGAGATGCGCTTTTTCTATAAAAAAAAAGTTGCAAGAAATCAGAAATCCATGGGACAAAGCAAGACAATGTTCATTAATATGAACGTGAATGATGCGTTTACAAGGTCCACTCATCCTTACTGCCTGGTCAGGGTTGTTGTTTAGATTAGGCTACTGGATTAATATTTATTTATTTAAATTGTTTTTCAAGACCTATGTAAAATAATCTTAGAAAACAGTCTTGTGCACATCTACACTCTTGGGCAAAAAAGGAGGGACACAATGGCAAAATATTAAGCTTTTAACTGTCTTAAAAACCATTAGTCAGAAAATTAGCGTGAATTAGATAAATGCACTCCTGAGACCTCCTGTGCCATCATATGCTTGTTGACATTAGCTGCAATGAACTGCAGTTTCTGGAAACGCCAGAAACAGGGAGGTTCGCATATATAGTCTTCTTGTATGCAAAGTTGAGATCATGATAATGATTAAAATATTAGATGTAAAATTCAAACATGTGTATGAGTCTACAAAAAGGAAAATAAAGTAAAGAAGAAAAGACAATTAAAAAATAAATAAATAAATAAATAAATAAATAAATAAATAAATAAATCTGCCCACAAGTTTACCCACAAGACTTAAACATTTAAAGAACTCAAAGGGAAAAGCTACAACATTCCAAATTACTATTGCTAATTTTCTGACCAAAGATTTGTTTTTATTCGCTATTAAAAGCTTAACATTTTGCCTTTTTTTTTTGCCCAGGAGTGTATATTTGTCACGTTTGCCGAATGGAGGCCAAGCAATCGTAGATTTTAAATATTTATTTTAAACAAATGAACAACGACACAAAAACACTAGGACAACCGGGCATAACACTATGGCAAAAAACAAACACGGAGACAGAAGTGACGTGAGTCTACAACAAACAAAGACCAGGAGAAAGTGCAGACAAGGACTATAAATACACAATGGTGCTAATTAACAAAACGTGAGTCAGGTGCATGTGGTCAGGTGGTGTACTGCAGTGGCTGATGGGACTTGAAGTCCCGGTTTCGGATACGTGGACAGATCCCTCCAAGGGGCGCACACCTGAGCGCCAAAATCAAAGGGCCCCTCCGGGGTCCCGGCCCTCCGGCCAAAAGCCCCAGCAGAACCAGGAGGCCGAGCAGCTTCCACCATGGCACAAGGAAGCGGGTGGAAGTCCTTGGCAAAGCATGAAAGAGGGGCGACATCCCCACGGGACAGGAGAGCGGAGCTGCCTCACCGCGAGGTTCAAGGGGGGGAGCTGGCACCGACGAGGCGCACGGGGGGAGCGAGGGTCTCCCGCGAGGCTCTGGGGAGCGAGGGTCTCCTGAGGCTCACGGGGAGCGAGGGTCTCCGCGGAGGCTCACGGGGAGCGAGGGCCTCCGAGGCTCACGGGGAGCCGGGGTCTCCGCCAGAGGCTCACCGGGGAGCGAGGGTCTCCGCGAGGCTCACGGGGAGCGAGGGTCTCCCGCAGGCTCACGGGGAGCGAGGGTCCCGCGAGGCTCACGGGGAGCGAGGGCTCCGAGGCTCACGGGGAGCGAGGTTCCGCGAGGCCCACGGGGAGCGAGGTTCCCGCGAGGCTCACGGGGAGCGAGGTTCTCCGCGAGGCCAGGGAGAGGAGCGAGGTTCTCCGCGAGGCCCAAGGGAGGAACGACGCTCACGAGCATGAGGGGAACGGAGACCTCCGTGGAGCAGGAAGGGGAGCGACCCACTGAGCGCAGCGAGGGAAAGGAGCGACGTCTTCAGCGAATGGGAGGCAAAGTGACGTCCTCAGCGCAGCAGGATGGCAAGAGACGACCGCAGCCAGCAGGAAGGCCGACGACCTCAGCCGAGCAGGAAGGCCGAGCGACGTCCACAGCCGCAGGAAGGCCGAGCGCCACAGCCGAGCAGGAAGCCGGCGACGTCCACAGCCGGGCAGGAAGCCGAGCCGTCCACAGCCGGGCAGGAGAGCGACGCCACAGCCGGCAGGGACTGAGGCCCCAGCTGAACAGGAAGGCTGTGCACCACCACAGCTGAACAGGAAGGCTGTCACACCTCAGCTGAACAGGAAGGCTGCACGACCTCAGCTGAACAGGAAGGCTGAGGCACCTTGAGTAGCTGAACACGGGAGCCCTGAGGCAGCGAACATAGGAATTCATGAGTCCGCCCGAGCCGGAGCGTCCTCACACACATAGTGGGGCGCGGAGAACCTCCTGCACAGGACTCACCGGGCTGCCGACTCTGAGGTAGCTGAACAGCGGGGAACTTGAGGTCCGCGAACATAGGTAACAGAGTCCGCCCGAGCTGGAGCGTCCTCACACACATACGGGCGGCGGAGAGACCTCCTGCACAGGACTCACCGCCGGCTGACTCTGAGGCAGCTGAACAGCGGGAATCCTTGAGGTCCGCAACAGAGGGGAATCCATGAGACCCATCGGAGGGAGGGTGGGAGCAAACTGCTGAACAAAAAAATAAATAAAAATCCACTGCCTCGTAGTCACGGTCTTCTCTGTCACGTGCAGGAGGCAAGCAATCGTAGATTTTAAATATTTATTTTAAACAAATGAACAACGACACAAAAACACTAGGACAACCGGGCATAACACTATGGCAAAAACAAACACGGAGACAGAAGTGACGTAGTCTACAACAACGAAAGACCAGGAGAAAGTCAACAAACTATAAATACACAATGGTGCTAATACAAAACGTGAGTAGGTATGTGGTCAGGTGTGTACTGCAGTGGCTGATGGGACTTGAATCCCGGTTTCCGGAACGTGACAATATTTAAGAAAGAAAATAAAAAGGGGGGATCTCCAAATTTTTAGCTCCAAATACAGCTAAAAATATATAAAGCACTGAGCAGATATAAATACAAGCATTGTGTTACAATCCAAGTATTCACAGTGGTGCATATTATAGAACCAAGCATAACCAAACCTGATCAGATGGTGCACAAATGTACATGCTATAAATGTGCATGCCTGTTCAAAGGAGTGAAAACCAGTAAAAGAATACAGGGAACACAAGAAAATCGAGATTGAAAGAGAGAGTGGGTGCTATAAAAAAACAGTCCTGATAATAACACAGACATAGAAACATTCACACAAAAGACATGCAGTAAAAGCTCGTTCCACTCGACTGAGCTTAGCAGGACCTCAGTCCTAATGCACTTCAAGCCTGTATGAGTCACATGCTGAGGCGATGCGTGTCAGAGCTAATGGAGAGCGGCTCGGAGGTCAGCTCAAAGAATGCAGCAGGTGTTTGTGGTGGCAGGTGAAAGCTGGCTCCTGTCTTTTGATGGGAACCTCCACAGAGCTGCTCCAGGTCACCATGGCCTGAGTGGACTAATTGAAAAATATGTTATAAATTCAGATGGTCTACGTCTGAACACCTTCTCCAAGCATGGAGAAAAGACGATGCTAGTTGGGGAGTGATTTGCTTTATAGAATTCTCTGGAAGATAATTCCAAGGATAAAACCTGGATTTAATCTTGATGGTTATTTCACTTAGTATCTAAAGCTTCACATATCCAAAACGATCACACCAAACACGGTGTGATTAGTATTTCGTCATACTAGCTTTACATTTTGTATGTAGTCATTATCTATATGTACACTATTAGAAATAAAGGTACTAAACTGTACGTTTCCTTGCTCCTGGAGTGGTACGATCAAGGGTACATCTTTTGTGGCCTTCAGT